CACATTACTACCCTTCCAGTTCAAATTCTTTAACAAGAGGCCTTCAAGCTGTGTCTGTTCATATAAGTATTCCGAGTTTGGTTTCAATTTGTTCTATTTATTTGCTCTTAAATCATAATGTAGGTCAGCAAGATTTAGATGACTTGATAGAACAACTGCCTGAACCCTTTATCATAAAAGGAGATTTTAATAGTCACTGCCTACTCTGAGGAAGTAAGAATACAAATTCTCAAGGCAGACAGAGTAAAGGATCGACGATCACTGCCACTGTCTCCTCAGTAGTGGACAGGATACGTACTTTGATGAATCTACTAAACCTATCATATCATCTGTTCACTATCACTTTTGCTATATTTTACATTTAGTGTTGGAAATGATCTTCACAATAGGGATTACTTCCTTTTCTTTGTATCTGTCGTATGAGAAGTAAAAATCTCATATCAAGAATCCATCATTTTATACTTGATAGGACAGAGTGGAACTCTTCATATGTCTTGCAAGTGTTACAGAAGAGATGGTAAAAGATGTGCCTATTAGTGAAGCTATGAAAATCTTCACTGATGTCATTTAGGCAGCTGCCAGTCTCTATACCAATGACATCAACAAGGTTATTCAACTTTTTGAAACCGTAGTGGAATATTGATTGGCAAGAAACTGTCAGACAACAGAGGAGAGCTTGAGCAATCTTTTCTGATAACCCATAATGTCAAACCTCATAACCATCAAAAAAGCTAAATGATATGCCAGAAAAGTGAGGTACAAGAGCTAAAAAGATTGATGTATATACAGTCAAAAGTCGTTAAACCGGACTCGCCGGGACTTCGGCGATTCCGGATTATCGATTTTTCCGGATTATAGATCATCAGTTTAAATCTGGTAAGATGGCATGCAGAAATTATAAAATTAAAAATATGAAACCGTAATTTATGAGATAAAGAACAATTATGATCTAAAGGTTATCAAAATTTACAAAAAAAAGCTTAATATTTATTTGTTTACTTTATTAAACATTTCTTTCAATGTAAGTTGTTTAAGTTGCTTCGTTTTATGTGATAATACTTTATCTTTAATTCTATAAACAGACATAATTTCTTCTTCAGTTACAATGTTCCGCTGTTCAAGTCCTATAATTGCTTTGTCGAGAATACGGAATTTCAAAATCGAAATTTTTTCGTTTTCAATAACCTCTGTGTCACTTTCTTCAGTATCGGAAGTGAATTATAATGACGAGGAATTTGATTTAAATCATATCAAAGACGGAGTACATCGAGATGAAATACTATATTTAGTAAGGAATTATAAGCCAAATAAAATAAAAACATCTGCGCTGAAGATAAGGATAGTGCTGACAGATCAACTTCCAATTCATTGCGCGCCAGGGCGTTCTCCCCCTCCCGCCGCAGAGCAGCGTGAAATTGATAAACAGATTTCGGAATGGTTAGAGAAACGAAAAATAAGCCTTTATCCATTTCTTGCAGCAATTCCACTTTTTGTTTAATGGACTTCGAAACATACTTTCGCTTTGCAGATCCTTTACATATTAGTAAATATATATCGGAAATTCTATTTGACATAATCGAAAGTTCAAGCTTACTTTTATAAAATTGCTCTAACAGTCTGCAAAAAATAATAAGCCGGATCCAATTCGAAGATTAAGAAACAACGCAATCTGCAACATTAACTGAATTAGATAATTTTAGCTTAGCTTATACCGTCCGTTATACATTAAACGCGCACTCGTAAACGTATTTTGCGCATGCGCACACTGATATTTGCAGCCGTAAAGGTCTTACGCGCATGCGTCAAACAAGACGCATGCGCAGAAAGTTTGTAGCTTTGAGGTCCGGATTATAGATCATTCCGGATTATGGGTGTCCGAATTAACGACTTTTGACTGTACTATACTGTGTTTCCTGAATTTCATTTTCTATGTCTAGTAAATGAATATGGGCAAGACTTAGAAAAGTGTGTGGAATGTATGAAGATCACTCAATTTCCTTTTTTGAAAAAGATAGCCTTGTGGCCAGCTGAAAGATAGCCTTTCAGAATTAGATAGAAATAGATAGAGATTTTTGAAAAAGATAGCCTTGTGGCCAGCTGTGACTACCACTGATGAGACTTTCATAGCTATTTTGAATGGCTCTTTCAAAATTGGGGGTGGAACTGAGCTAACTCGATTTGTCACCTGAAAGGTGCTCAAGGCTGTTGCCAGTGACAGGCGTATTCTAGTGCTCCTTGCCACGAGACATTTCATGGACTTGGGCTTACGTCAGACAAGTGAGCAAACAACAACAGCAGTGTTTCAGTTCAGCTTATTCCAAGTCTTTCACTAAGGAGTATACTGCTTTAGAATCTGCCTTTGGTTTGTAGGAAGTTCGGGTTACAAATGAAGATGTCTGAAATAGTTTATCTCTCTTCTTTAGTATAGTTTTGATACAGAGTGTGACATTGTCATTCATCATATCAGTCACTGTACTAATCTTGGGTAAAGTTGTAATGCTTGGTCATGACATTAGATTCTTCTCTTTTAAAGAAATTATAGGACTTTGTAGTGACTAATTTTCACTATGTTCGTTTACTAATTTTTTATAGTTGCAATGAGCATGAATCCTGTGTGCCATCTTCACCAGAAGAAATTTCTTTCTGGGTTCTATTCCTCTAATTCGTCCTTGAGAAAGGCTTTCTTAGTGCTAATTAAAAAAAATATTTTGCTTGCTCAATCAGTTCCCTCCTCCCTGCATAGGTAAATTTTTTGTGTATATGTGCTGTCAAAACAAAGTAATACAGATTTAAATCAGTGTTTAATATTCACCAAAATTTTCATATAACTCAAAATGCTAAACTAAATTAGTTATGCATGGTATAACTATACTTCTGTTGCCAGTCCACACACACACACACACACACACACACAAAAACAAAAAGCAACAAAAAAAAAAAAAAAAAAAAAAAAAAAAAAAAAAAAAAAAACCAAAGGGGCGTTTGCTTATGTTTTGTGTGTTACCATTATTTGTTAAATATCATGTTCTTCGCACTTAAACCATAAAATTCAGTTCAACAGCAGTATTGCAAAATAATTTTAAAATCGGCATATCTTTAGAATTTCCGGATACACAGTTCTGCCCGCTGGAGATAAAAAGCTTGCCCCGTAGAGTGTTGCCATTGCTCATTTTTAAATCTTTGAGTTTATTAATTAAAAATTCATTAAAGTTTTACAAGATATGAAATAGATAATAAAGCAAATTCGGGCTTCCAGATGCCCATATTCGGAAAACGTACGTTATTCAAAATTTGGCTCTAGGTACCATTGCTTTATCACACTGGGATAAACATACATACATTTATGCAGATTCTTCATTATTTAATTTTTTTAAATATAATACAAGGTGATAATATTTGGTGGCAGCAATTTGAAAAGTGAATCGGACATTTACAGTGAACCAACGCAAAATGCCAAAACGGAAGTAATAGTCCTTCAGCAGATTTTAAATTACGTCTAAAGGGGCATTTTTTTAATGTTTTGTGTATTACCGTTATTTATTAAATATCATGTTCTTCGCACTCAAACCATAAAAAATTCAGTCAACAGCAGTATTGCACATTAATTTTAAAATGAGCATATCTTTAGAATTTCCGATACAGAGTCTGGTGCACTGGAGATAAAAATGTATTTTTTTGTACAGTGTTTTCATTGCTGGCTTTGAAATCGTTTAATTTTTTAATAAAAATATGTTGAAGTGTTGCAAAATATGAAATCGATAATAAAACAATTTCAAATTAGGCCTTCCGCGTACCCATATTCTGTGGAAGATTACATTATTCAAATTTTGATGGCTCTAGGTATCATGGTTTTATCACAATGTAAGAAACATAAATACATTTATGCAGATTCTTCATTATTTAATTTCTTTAAATATAAGACAGGGTGATAATATATGGTGGCAACATTTTGAAAAGAGATTTTAAAGTTTTCAGTGCAAAATGCCAAAATAAAACTAATAGTCCTTCAGGGCAAATTGCCCCTTTGGACTAAAAAATCATCATTTGCTGAAGCTCTTCTTTGTCAGCAAAAACCCATACACCCCAAACTTTTTTTTTTTAATCAGAAAGTGATCAATGGTAGATGAAATCAGGTATAATAAGCCAGATGCTCTGAAATATCTTTGTTTAAAATTCTAAAGCAGCTATTCATCGAATGCAGCAATTTGTGGCCAGATATTGTCGTGGAAAACAAAAGCCCTCACAAATCATCTGAGTAACGATATTTTTTTATTATTTTTAGTGTACTAAAATTAAGTAAATTTTTTTTATTAACATAAAACAAAATGCACTACTTTTTTCTATTCAACCCAAAAACTGAATTTTGGCATAATTTTATTCATAAATAAAAATAACAATAAATCTATAACTTAATTTAAGCTTGATTATGAATTAAAAGTATACAAACAAAATGCAGTATTTAATAAAGACTTTCTTTAAAAATTTTATGATATGTTTTCTAGATTAATCTTTGTTGTGTATGGTATCTCTGCATGTCATTTAAATTATGAATAAGTGTGTTCTTTTTATAAGGGATATTACAGAAATTAGAATATGCAGTTTCTTTCTAGTATGTTTTTAAACATGTTATTTTATGAAAATTGTAGCATTTTGAATATGTACATGTTCTCTAGTAAACTTGACTAAAATTTGTGCAATTTGTTCTTTTTAGTAAATATTTAATTTCAGTTAATCACAATATTTGTGTTACTTAAATAGTAGTCTTTGCTTTTGTTTTGCTATTAAAAAAAATCCCTCCAAATCCTATGGAAGAGTGTGAGTAATCTGTGTTATCTCATTATGATAATTTATAGAAGTATTTTACGCGCCTCTGCTACAACTAAGTTTTCCCCTCAAGTATTGTCTCCTCCTCTTTCTCTTTTGCTGATTAGTTAATTAGAAACTTTATTTTGTGTATATTTTGTTTCACTGTTTTTAAAATTTATGTCTTTAATTTTTAGCTTGTAGAATTGAAAAATGGGGAGACATACAATGGGCATTTAGTTAATTGTGATAACTGGATGAATATTAATTTGAGAGAAGTAATTTGTACATCAAGGGTAAGTGTTCATGAATTAATAAATTTTTATTTTATGGTTGTAGTATTTGTCTAATGTATTTCACATTTTCAAAGATTCTCCGAGTTACTCTTCAGAAAAATAAAGTGTAATTTCCTTTGTTGATGTTAAGTATAATTCAAGTAAGAAGGTAAAATATAAAGTGCAATGTTATTGACAAAAGAGATACAGTTTCATTAAATTCAAGAAGAAATATTAAATATTGTAATAAAAGTACTGTGTGTTAGTGTAAAGATTTTACTTTTGTCATTCTTTTAACACCAACAAGTCAAAGATCTGTTAATGATTGAAACAAGAAAATTAAAAGCTATTTGTATGAAGGTAAAAATTGTATTGTGAACATGTTTGGAGTACTTACTAACAGAAACCATGGAAGCAGACTTTAAGGGTGCATTTTGAAATTCAGATCTATCAATCAGTCTATGGTTTAAAAGTATGAGAGAAATGGGAAATGTCTGACCACCTGTCTAATTCTCACTAAACTTGACTTACGGCATCTCAGTTAAGTGCTGTAATATTTTGTAGTTTATAAAGAATCGGGGTTCATACAGTCCTTAAAATTACTTAGAAGTCCTTAGGTTTTTTGGAAATTGTTTTAGGTCCTTAATTTTAGCCAAAATTGACAAAAGATTCTTAATTTTATTCACCTGACATTTCTCTTTCTTTACGAATTCCATTTTGAGTGTGAATTAACATTTTAGAGGAATATTTTTTGCCATGCATTGACAATATACTTGTATATTTGATAGGTTAGTGTTTGAATTCTTTTTCTACTTCTTAATATAAATAGTGGATACTGGAGTTTTAGGCATAAGAATGAGAATGAAACATAAACATAAACATTCATACCTCGAATGAAACATAAACATTTCAAAATTATTTCTTTTTTGTGAAGGAAGAGATTATAAAGTATTACATCAAAAACAATTTTTTCCTTTTGCGGATCTAAGTTCTTTTATTATGCAGCATCGAATTTGGCGACTAATGAACATTTTGGTGATTTTAAGATCAGTTTGTATGCAAAATTCTTATTTCCAAATTTGTGAAATTTCGATGGTTTTTTTCACAAACATTATAACATTGATAAATATTATAAAAATGATGATAATATATTAAAATTATATTTAAGAAATAAAACATTTTTATTTTTTCATGCCTTATTTTAAAGTTACGTTACTTTGCAATTTTGGCAACTTGGAAATATTTTGATTCTGAGAATAAATAAATAAATAAAAGGTAATAAATGCTATAAAATACAGTTTCTGATGCACTTCTTAGGGGGGAAATGCCATTGCAATTACTTAAAAATTAATTTTGTTGGCCTTCTTTTGTATTTTTTCATAAGAATTCCCCCCCCCTCATGTAATTGCTTCAGAATGTGTAAATGTGTATTTATTTTGAAGGCAAGATTATAGACCTACAGAAAATATGATAAATTAAAAGTGTCTATTAACACATAATAGACATGTTTTATAGGAAATGTGTGATGAATATCTTATATTTTAAAGAATTTTTGGAAGAACAGCAAAAACAAAATTATTTAAATTTTCTCCTTTTGATCTCAGAAGGATTTCTCTTAATGTGCATATCTTTCCACTAAGCACAATCATTAAATGAATCAAAGAAAGCAAAGAAATTGAAAACTGAGAATTTATTAAAAGATTCATCACATATGTCTTCAGTGCACTATACATATCTCAATGCCTGTCCTAAATTCAAAGACTTTTGCCCTAAATTTTGTTGTTTGGCACTTTTCTAGATTCTAAAAATTTTGACATACTGGCTCTGGTGCTGGCCTTGACCTTATCACTTCATATTTATTTTCAATACGTATATTGTTAAAGGAATAAAATTGCCATTTTTTTTCTGCACATTCTAAGTACAAGAAGTTTTTTTTAGAACAATAGAAATCTTTAATTAAATCTGGAAATTCTGAAATAAAGAGGAAATTCATTGAAAAAGAAATTGAGTCTTTTATTCTTCAAAGGTACACTGTGAAAAAAAAAATGACAGTTTTATATCTTCCTTTCTACTGGGCCGATTGACAAAATTCAAATTGCTTTTTTTTTTCACGTCTCAAAAGCACGACTTAGGATATATATATTAGATTTATATATAGCATTGTTCTAATATAAGTATTTCGACACAAAATCGGACTTTTTCTGAAATGGCATGCCAATTGTTTTCCATATTTCGATTCTCAAATTATGCCTAGATATTAAATTTTGTCAAATTTGTCGTGAAATTCATGGAAAAATTCGAAAATTTACCTTCACTTATTTTTTGCAGGTTGCACCAAGAATAATTACTTCTTAATTTATAGCAACCAATTTTCCTTTCCTTTTTTTCATTGCAGGCTAGCGGAAAAAAAGTCTTCGTTCGTACTTTCAAATAATTTTAACAAAGTGTGTAAACCACATTTGCCATTATTATCGCTTATAACGTATATGATAAATTTCGAAATGCACCAATGTGTCAGTTCACGTATATCTTAGAAATGTTTAATAAAAAATCTTTGAAAAATTTATACAAATTATTTAAAAATTCAAATTAAAAAAATAAATCATAAAAATTGGTTGAATTTTATTTGGAATTAATCTAAATTTTAAAATATGAAATGAAGAATTAAAAAAGTTTAATATAAAAAGTGATATTAATAAATGTATACCAAATTCAGTTAACATGGAGGAGCTAAAATTTTGAGAACTAATTTTTAAAAAAAAACTACTCGTGCAATTTTGCAAAACTTGGGAATCTGGCATAATTTCAGTCGTAGAATCAAAATATGGAAAAAAAAACTGGAATGTCATTTCAGAAAAAGTCTGATTTTGTGTCAAAATACCTACCTATATTAGAACAACGCTATACATAAATCTAATACAGTCAAAAGTCGTTAATTTGGACACCCATAATTCAGAATGATCTATAATCCGGACCTCAAAACTAAAAACTTTCTGCGCATGCTCCGCGTTAACACATGCGCATAGGCGTTTACGCGTGCTCGTAAGACCTTTTACGACTGCGCATATGAGTGTGCGCAAGTGCAGAATACGTTTTCGCGTGCGCTTTTTATGTATAATGGACGTATAAGCTAAAATTATCTAATTATCTATTTTAGTTAATGTTGATGATTGCGTTGTTCCTTAATTTTCGAATTGGATCCGGCTTATTATTTTTTGACCGTAAGAGCAATTTTATAAAAGTAAGCTTAAACTTTCGATTATATCAAATAGAATTTCCGATATATATTTGTTAATATGTAAAGGATCTAAAGCGAAAGTATGTTTTGAAATCCGAAATCTGTTTATCAATTTCACGCTGCTCCGCGGGGGGAACGCCGTGGCGGGCGCGTAATGAATTGGAAGTTGATCTGTCAGCACTATCCTTATCTTCAGCGCAGATGTTTTTATTTTATTTGGCTTATAATTCCTTACCAAATGTAGTATTTCATCTCGATATGCTCCGTCTTTGATATGATTTAAAACAAGTTCCTCGTCATTATAATAGCGAAGAAAGTAACAGAGGTTATTGAAAACGAAAAAATTTCGATTGACCAATTAGTCAGTGTTCTCGACACAGCAATTATAGGACTTGAACAGCGGAACTTTGTAACTGAACAAGAAATTATGTCTGTTTAATAGAATTAAAGAGAAAGTATTATCACATGAAACAAAGCAAAACTTAAACAACTTACATTGAAAGAAATGTTTAATAAAGTAAACAAATAAATATTAAGCTTTTTCTTTTTGCAGATTTTGATACCCTTTAGATCATAATTGTTCTTTATTTCATAAATTATGGTTTCATATTTTTAATTTTAGAATTTCTGCATGCCATCTTACGAGATTTAAACTGATGATCTATAATCCGGAAAAATCGATAATCCGGAATTGCCGAAGTCCCGAGGAGTCCGGATTAACGACTTTTGACTGTACATATCCTAAGTTGCACTTTCAAGACATGAAAAACGCAAGTTTAATTTTGCGAATCAGCCTAGTAGAACGGAAGATATAGAACTGTCCCATTTTTTTCTTTTGCGCAGTGTACATGGTTGAAATCGTAACAAATTAGGAGATGAAGCAGAGACTAGTGGGAACATTTATTTGATTATTGAAACAAGTAACCTTAGAAAAAGTGCCAAGGAGAAGGAAACTGATGTAAATTAGGTAAGATATTTGGAAAATAATCAAGACAAATTAAAAAGACACATAAACATTTTGTTGTTGCTGCAAAGCGTGAATGTTTTGTAGCTTTTAATGTGTAGTTATACTAATATCATTTTAGAATCAATACTATAAATTATAACTACAGTAAAATGTTCTTAATGCTTTTTTAATGAATATGTTTTGGAAAAAGTAATTGTAATCATGTAAATCTTACTGTGACTAAAGGTATCTAAATGTAACTAACTGATGACCCTTTGAAGTTATCTCTACATGTTAAGATGAGTTTTTTCCTTTCCTTAATCCTTATTGTGGATGCAATATACAACACAAAATTGTAAAATTAAGATACAGCTTTATTCCTTATAGCTAATAAGACTTGAGACAACTGTACCAAGAACAGGCATTCGCATCTGTTCTGATCAGCAGCTCTGTGTCTCTAAACAAGTAGCTGTATTGGCAACATTATTATTAGTCGTGCTGATTATTTTATTTCGCAGTTTAACTTATGCCATTCAACATAAAATCTGCTTGTATCTCTGGACTGAATGAGTACATGATGAAATGAGGCATAAAAGAAAGAATCAGTATAAAGCTAACTGTTAGTAAAATTTAAATTATTTCATTGATGGTTCTTACATGTACTTTCCATGTGTAAAAGTCTGTATAAACCTTGAGAATGAATTTTAACCTTCTTTGCAAAATTCCCAAGTTGTAGATTGTGGAATCTGATGTTCAAGACATTTTATTGGTTAGTTTCCATGGATTTTGTTTGAATGTACTACAAACAAATTCAGCTTGTTCTGATATGCAAAGTTG